AAAATAAAAAAAAAAATATATATATATATATATTAAGGAATTATTTTAAACAAATTTCGAACAAAATTTCAACAATTTTAGTGAAAAAGTTTATCGTTAAATCTATTCAATCTATCATCTCTAAATCCTAAAAACCATTAACATAACATCAATATAAAATTTATTTAGTTGCTTTTATAAGTTTAAAATAATAATATTGATAAATTTAAAATATAAATTTTATTAATAATTAAATTTAATTTAAGACTAATTAACTTGGAAATTAAATTTAGAAAGACATGCATTTCCTTACCGAAATATAAAGAATCCTTCTTTTTGACATTGTCACTCAAGTATGGTGTTCCAAGAGCATAAAACACAGTCGATCCAATTCCTTCAAGAAAACTTGCCAAGAAAAATATTACCACTACTGATTCAGTTGTAAAATGATTTATTTTATTGCAATTTTCACTTCTTTGAGGATTTGCTTCACATAAATCATAATCAGTTAAGTCATACGCAGAATAAGAAGAGTTTCCTGAATTTAACATGAAGGTACCTTTACCATAAATGAAATAAGGGAAAATACTCATAAAACAACTAACAACTGTAACCATGGTACTTCCGGCGATCCATTTCGGACGATGATTTTTTACTTCAAAGAAATTAATTACCAGACAAATCAATATAGGACTAATATTGTTGGCAATCAGAATGGAAGTACTAATTCTACTCTTGAAAGAAAATCTTTTTTCTAAAGTTGTTATAATGCCAATGAAATAAGTAAAATATGCACCTTGTAGGATACTCAAAATACAATAGATGACGATGTAATGCTGTTGCGTCGCAAACCATTGTAACCATTTTGGTTTCCAAGTTCCAATTCCGCAAGTTGTTTCGTTGCGTTTCGTTTCTCGAGTTTCGAAATTTTCGGCATCTGTCGTAGGTACAGTTACAAATTCATTTTGAGAAACACACGGCTTTGCTGTTTCCATATTTGTAGATTTTCGTGATTTTTTTTCACAAATTACATGAAGTAAGCCATTACTTTTATCGACTCAGCAATATTATCAGTTGAACTGACAATACGTGGAGAGATTGTCTAGTTCAAAGTCTTTTTGCGCATATATTGATAAATTCTGATATGAATAAATTGCTAAGATTTTACTGTTAGATGAAATAAATATATCCGAAATCACTATAATTTCATTGCCAAAATTCGTAGTAAATGATAGTTGCGTGTTATCAAACGGATGTAACTTCTTCAATTACTGTAATGCCGCCATATTTATATACTTTAAACTTTATATACAATTGATATAATTTTTAAAATATAATAATATATCAATGAATATAATTATGAATATAGAAATTAATTTTTTTTACTTATTTTAACAGTAAATATTTTAAAAAATAATAATTTTTGATGTTTATTACTATGCAAAAATTCAACTCTTAGCGTCATCTGTTGATAAACAGATAAACTAAATTTTAAAATAAACACATGATATCATGTGACTATTTAAAATGTTTCATTGCTCGTTTCACTAACCTTAATACATCGTACAATTAATTAAAAAATTTAAATTTTAATTCTTGTACAGTAAAAACTGAATTTATTTAAGCTTTTGTAATAATCCAAGAGGAGTAATTTTAATAATTTTATGTTTAGCAATTATTTTTATTATAGATAATAAAACATTACCAGACAATTTGATTATTGCGAAAATAATAAACAATGGAATCTGAACGCAATTTAGTGAAGAATCAAGATCGTTGACTTTCATTATGACAGTGATTCTTCTGTTCTATGTATTATCCATATTTATGGGGCAAGAGCCTTGGTATATTTGGTATATTATTATATAGCTTTTTTTAAAATAAAAAAAAATGAATAGAAAAGAAAATAATAAAACAATCATATTAAAAATAAAATTATATTTATTCTAAATTACTAACAAAAGTATTAAAACGTTTTATATTTTTTTGAGTCTTGATTATAAATTTTTTTTTTAATGTTAAAAATATCCTTAAAATAAGAAATTATATAAAAATAATTATTATTACAAATTGAATAAAGTAAATAATAGTAATTATATTTTATTTTTCATTTTCTTCTATACATAACTTATTTCACTACAGGATAAATATAAAAAAAATAGAGATTTAAATAAACACAGAATGAATGAATGAATACAATTATAAATTATTATTGCTAGAAAATTTGAATAAAATTAAATTAAACTTAGAGAAAATTTAGAATTTAAATTTATAATTTATTTAGTGAATAAAATTTAAAGTTACACAATATATTCTTTATAGAAAATCACGGACTTTGCTAAGATTTAACCTTTGTCATTTCTTTAGTTATCATGAATTATCTTATTTATATTTTTATAATGTTTTATTGTTTGCTGACTTGTTATCTCTCCTTTATCGTTAGATTCAACAAATACATGTTTATTTTTTTTTATTTAAGACTATTTTATACAGTGTATAAAAAGATTTTTATTTATTTTAAAATTAATTTTAAAATTATAATAAAACAGCCAATTTGTGCAAATTATATCAAATTATTTAAATTTAAATTAGATAATGTGTATTATTGTAAGATAATTATAAAATTATTACGTACCTAAGCAAATATTAACAATTCAGATTAAACTACAATAGTATTACACATACTGTACATTCTCGTCGTGAGATTTTTTCATTAAATATTCATAACTTTGATTAGTTTCAACATATTTAAAATGCTAATAAATTAATTTTATATTTTAATGATGTTTTAACAATGTTAAATTATGAAAAAAAATAATTTCAAAACATGTTTATTTGATTTTTTTATTAAATTATAACTTTTAAAAACAGACATTTTGCTATTCAGAAAATAAATTTTTCAATTTATTTATTGTTTTATATCAGTAGAAAATTTGTTTTATTTAACGCTATACTGTACATTTTTAAAGTATTATTATTTATTGATATTGTTACATAAAGCTTTAAAATAAATTTAAAGAGAGACACATCACATAAATTTATATTATAAATTGCAAACAACAGTATTAGTATTAAATGAATAAACTTGGGTAACTAAATAAACTTACTTAATTACTTAACTCGTGTATAACTTTAATCTTCTTTAAAGATAATTAAGAAAATGATACTGATAATGAACAAAACCTAAATTTATCTCCACCACTTCAGCTAGATTAATGGATAATTTTTTTATTATTCGATTTTATATTTTATAATTTAATTACTATCAATTTTTAATTTTTCAGAGAAAAATTAACAATAATTAATTATATAAATAGTAACAAAAATATATTTTTAAAATTTTTAAGTTTTTTAGCTGATATTGGTTAATTATGTTTTATTTTTTGGTTTCTTTAGTCTTTTCTTGTTGAAAAAAGTTAATGAGTTCGAAAACTTGTTAACTTTTTTTTAACGAATTATTACATAAAAGCAATATGCCTACATCAATAGCGTCATATTTCTGCACACAACTTCTATTTGTCTGTGTCTATCATATAAACATCCATTTATTATTTACATTCCATTAAGTCTAGATAAAACATGTATAACTAATAACAGATTTTAATATTTACACAACGAAGATTATATAAAATTCATTAATTGAAAAACCTATTAAAAATGATCTTAAAAACTTTAAGCAATTTTCCATTATATAAAAGTTTAATCCTGCATCTATTACATTTAAATTTTATTATTAAAATATATACATAAAAAATAAGAATTATATTTTAATGTTATAAAATATAGTTTTAAATTAAAATTAAACGTGTAAATTGGTTTATATTTAATTATTATTATTATTATTATTATTATTATTATACATCGTATTTAATTCGATAGGCATGGCGTTTAAAGATTATTCGTTCGATTATTTAATAATACTTTGAACTATTTGCGTAGAAAGTTGTCTTTAATTTATCGGACCTATAGTTTATGTTACTCCAGTTCTAATCAATTAAATCAGTAAATGTTTATCGAAAGCGAGATATTTTCAGTTTTGGAAGAGATTCAGTACTAAAGCTATGCATAATAACGTTAAATCTGCAAATTTGAATCATAATTTTACACTGGTACCTGAAAAGGAAGTTTCGGAAAATGGCGAAGATACTAAATGTGGGATTGGTAGTTGCAAACCGAATTGGATACAGAAACTCGCAAATCCAAAAATATATTTAGTGAATTTTTGTATATTGGGTGTTCTTCAAGGCGCTTATTTTACATATTTTGTTGGTGTCGTTACTACTTTAGAAAAGAGATATGCTTTCGAAAGTAAAGTAAGTGGAGTTATTATGATCGCAGATAATATAAGCCCTATTATAATTAGTTTGTTAATTGGATATTTTGGGGGGAAAGCTCATAGACCTCGATGGATCGCTAGTGGTATGCTGATAGTCATAATAAGTTGTTTTCTAAGTGCACTTCCATATTTTATTTATGGACCGGCTACCCATTTGTTAACCAAGTCCGAATTGTTGGAAAAACCTAAACACGAATTCTGTAATTCTGTCAATAGAATAGATTGTGAGGATGCTAAACTTTCGGCAACTATACCTGCTGTATCCATATTTTTTGTTGCAAGTTTTATCAATGGATTTGGTTATACGGCATTTTATACCATTGGAACACCCTATCTGGATGATAATGTTAAAAAGAAGAACTCGCCTTTATATTTTAGTAAGTAAAGCTTAAAATTATTTGTAATTGAGGTCACGATTATACAGTTCTATAACAATTTAATTTAGATTGTTCATAGATTAATGAAATAAATATTTTAGGTGCAATGTTCGCTTTGAGAATTTTCGGCCCATCTCTAGGATTTCTATTATCTTCTTTTTGCCTGAGATATTATGAAAATCCATTTTGTAAGTAAATTGTGAAAATTTTATATATTCGTAACGCTATTAAATTTATATAAAAAAATAAACTATTGATAGATGATCCAGGATTTTCCCATAATGATCCAAGATGGATTGGAGCTTGGTGGATCGGTTTTCTAATATTAGGAGTTCTTCTTCTTGTAGTTAGTATCCCTATGTTTATGTTTCCCAGAGTATTACCCGGATCACCAGAATCAACCAAACAGGAAATTGCAAAAAATACAAAGCTACCAAAATTTAAAGGTGAGCTGTCATTTAAACTAGAAAAGAATATCAATGGATTTTTTGCCGTTGGATACATTCAGTAGAAAGTAAACAGGGGAATGCTCGTTGCCAACATATAAAACTCTTGCAATATTAAATATTATATTATAAAATTTATATTTTAGATATGCCCGCAGCTTTGATGAAATTAATTAAAAACAAAATATTAGTTTGTGTGATCATAGCAGCAACGTTACAAATTAATGGACACTTAGGGTATTTCGTTTTCATGCCGAAATATATGGAATCTCAGTATCGACAATCAGCATCTAGCGCGAGTCTTTTCTCAGGTAAATCGGGTCTTTAACATTATTTTATAAATAAATATAGCTTATAATGAATTTATCAATGTCAGGATCGACTAGCATTATTGCTATGGTAATAGGAATATTACTAGGAGGTGCAGTTATAAGGAAATTTCAACCAAGAGCTCGTTATCTAACAGCATATATGATATTTGTTGATATTTTTGCCATGTTTGGTCTACTTATTAACATGTTAATCGGATGTTCACCACCTACGATGAGTGGCACTACACAAATTAATAAAGAGTAAGTAGGCTAATTATTAATTTTAATATGAAACAATATATTTAAAGAACAATTTCGAAATGTATATTAATCCTTGAGTGACTATAGGATCGAACTTTATAACGAATGCAACGCTAATTGTGGTTGCACCCGCCATATATTTGAACCCGTTTGTGGATATGACAATCAGTCGACTTTCTTTTCTCCTTGTTTCGCGGGATGTACTGGAATTAATGACACATTAGGGTCAAATGTAAGTACAGAATTGATTAATTGAATTTACTCATAATACTTTCTAAATCTAAGACTCTAAATTTTGTTACAGATATTTACAAATTGTAGTTGTGCTTACAATAGTTCTGGTTATCTACCATCTCGAATTGAAAATGTCAATGGAGGGTACTGTTTTCTAGACTGCAATATGTTCCTTCCATATATTATAATATTAAGTTTTAGTAAGTTTATAGCTTCTACGGGTCGAGTTGGAAGTGCTATAATTACTTTGAGGTACTTTATTTTATATTTATTTCTANTTTTGGTATGCTGGTCATTTCACGGTATAATATGGTATAAGCGTATAGCTTATTAATATATGAAAAAAAATTATAAATGTCTCACTTTGATAGGTATTTATATATTCTTTTCGTGTTGCTATATTGAGAATTATTACTGTAGCCTTGAAGAGTTTATTTGTGATTATTTCATATTGAATTTTCTTCCTTAAAAGCTGTACTTCAAAATCTACTTTAATTTTGTGCTTTCTGGAAATAAATTGCTGAAATTTTCTATTATTGTTTGATAATCTGGAAATGTTATATTTTAAATAACCTTAATTAATATGATAATGAGTAAAATATTACAAATATACTTTAAAAATTGCAATATTGAAGACAAATACAAAGTAAATTATTTGTAGGTCTTCATATAAATTATTTTCATATCTAGGATCACAATTAAAACACTAGTGAAGTTGACCTTTTTATATATATTTGTGAGTGGAGGTGTGTGTGTGTGTGTACACTCATCTCCACTCAGAAATATGTAAATATAAGGATTGAACTACATGTAAAGTTATAGAAACAAGTATGCATAAGATGTTCTTCTGGCATACTTGTTTCTGGATATGAAAAAAAAGACATCTGTATGACATTTGAAATATTTTATATTTATTTCTAATATTGTTAATAATCTTAAATTGGGTTACATATTTATAAATTCATTTAGGCCTATATAAAATACTTTCAGATGTGTGAATCCAGAAGAAAAAAGTTTTGCCTTGGGAGCTATGGGAACAATATTGTCAGCATTTGGTGAGTGTTAATAATTTTTTCAAAACAAATTTACTAAATTCCGATTAATTATTAACTTTTAAAATTTCAGCATTTATTCCATATCCGTTAATTTATGGTGCCTTAACGGACGAAGCTTGTGTGGTATGGGAAGAGAGTTGTGGTAAAACTGGTAATTGTTGGTTATACGATACTAAAAAATTCAGGTATTATCTTCACGGAGCCACTATATTATTAAATGGAGGTGGCATAATATTCCATATTGCTATTTTCTTTATGAGTGATAGACTTAGAGATTTATATAATGATGAAGAGAAAGAAAATGAAATTAATAAAGAAAATGACATTGCTGTACCAGCGCTTATGAATCCAGACCTGAAAAGGTCCTTAATTGATATGAGAACAACGGTTTAATGTATGATATTTAAGATATTTTATTTTTTACTTCGAGATAGTCTTTCCAATGTAAATAAATAAATATATAGGCCTATATAAAAGTTATTTTTTGAGATTCGTCTTGTACCATTTTAAAAGTTGTGTATTTGACTCACATAGAAAAATATCCCTAAATACTATGGAATCAAGAAATTTTTAAGGATATTTTTTTCATATAATAATAAGTGTAAATTCATACGAAATTGTAATTTTAATTAAAAACATGTTTTTAGTCTTTGTTTTGATAATTATTGAGTGCGAATATGATTTGTAAATGAAAAATATTAACATATTATGTAAACTAATATGTAATAAAATATTAAATTATAAAAATATGATGTTTATTGTTTAAAATTCATTATAAGATAATACATAGTAAACAGCGTTTGAAATCTAAATTTTAATAAGCTATATATTGTTCTTAATAATAATTTATAAAAACAATGTATAAGAATTTATGATAAAAATATTAATAATATATATACTAGAAATTATCTGTAGTTAATCAGATGGAGTATCATTAAAACGAAATATAATTTCATGAATAAATATTGTTATTTTACACAATTTAAAGAGGTCATTGAAATATTTTATTTAAACAAACGATATTTCAAAAAGAGTAAAATTAGGACAAAATGTTAATATTTTAAATAATCATGTAACATAATGATAATTTATAATAATAAATAAAAGATTGAAACGTCGATCAAATACCAGTGTAAGAAATCTGCTATCATTTAATATGACTTATGTAAAGTTATGTTAAATGATCATATTTATTTGAAATAGACAAATATGAAGAAATATTATATGCTGGTGCCATTTTAAAAAAATATTTTATTGAATAAATACACTTTCTCTTAAATATCAATTTAACCAAATCACGTTTTGTAGCATTACAATGCCATAAATTGTAAATACAACCACAGATTTTTTGTATTTTTCTTAGTATAATGAGTTTCTAGTAATGTTTTGAAGTTGTGTACATCAGTAAAGCCTCTTCGAGACTTTCTGGTAGTTTTCTGTAATGACATCATGAAACATTTCTCAGATAATCAGAAAGGTTGATAAATAATAGTAAATGAGCTCAGTAGAATTAGAAATAACTGCATTTGCTGTCAAATTAGAGTCATACCAACCTACAATAACTCGTGAGATACGTCTAATCTTGAAGCAAACGTTCATAATATTGTATTATTGGATAGGCAAGCCTATCTCATCAATGTGTCAAAGCACAATGTTTCAGTAACGTTACATATAAGATTGTCTGTTATAAATATATCTCCAAGCTTCTAAAATATCTGAAGAAATTAATTAACAAATTTAATTATTGTTTTTCTATAACAGCAAGCTTTATGGACAGATAATCTATTGTTTTCGGTTAAATTTCTTTGAAGTTAATGGAAGAGTGAGCTCAAATATTCAACTGTGTATCTGTCTTTTAATTTTTTCTTTCATATTTTTTGTTTTTAATATAATTTCGCAAAATTTTAAAAGCAAAACCTTATTATAATACTAAATTCCTTTGCTAAATCGGATAATTTTGTTTCAATTTAGTGTCGTATGTAATTTTCAGCAATAAAAACTTTCTAGTTTATAGATGGGTCACTGTGAAAAACTTTCATTCAAATTTGTGAAATTTTATAAGCGTGTAGTTTATAACTACACCTACATCTTATTTACGTTCATTAGAAAGTTCTATAAGTGATATCGATATAATTATATAACAAGTACAGTACATGTACATATAAAACTGAATTAGATTATATTGTGTAACATTACATAAATTTATTATATAAATAGACTTAATTAACGATTTATTTATTTTAGTATATTTTTCATTATTAACGAGCAAAATCTAGTTAAATTATGGATTTAACTAGATTTTGCTCGTTAATTCTTTTCAGATGTACATATCTTCATTAATGTATTTTACAACAATAAAATAATTTTTAACATGTTATTTAATAAAATAATTTTAAAGTAAAAATAAAATAAAAAAGAATTGCCTTAAATATCTGAAAATATATAAGCATAGTAAGATTAGAGACGCATTTCTTATATCTTTATTCATGATTAAAAATTAAATAATAGAATCAGAAGTTAATCGATTACTTTAATAAACTCGATCCTTCTTGTAACTATAAGTACACAAACGTTTATGGATTAACTTCAGACTTTGACTCATAAACTTTGGTTATAAATCAGAGGAAATTTTTTCAAGTAATAAAAATTGGTAATTTTAGGCAATCACGTCTTTATTTTTCTTTATATTTTACCAGAATAGAACCTTCAACAGTTTAAATATACTTTATTATTACGAACACTTTTATATTCATTAAAATAATTTAATGGACTTATTATAAATTTTTGGTATTATATAAATACTAACAACACACCTTTTCTATAAATATTAACTAATAAAAAAATATAGAATTTTCAAATTTACATAATAAAATACAAAAATATAAATATTTTTCTGTTAAGTAAGAGAAAAAATAGTAACATTTTTCATAATCAATTATGAAAAATGTGTTATATTGTTATATAACATTTATATATGATTAATAATAATATAATTGAATTTGAAGTAAGTTGGGTGTTGTTACGTTGCTGATGCTACATTTTTTAAAGAATTTGACAAATGTTTTATATTTATAGTCTCCTTTTCGCCTTCTTTTTCATCTTCATAAAAGTTTTTCAATCGATGACTCAAACAGAAGATTCCTATATGAAAAAAGTTTCCTGCCAACAAAAGTGTGATACCCAATCCATGTAAGTAATATCGAAATTTATCTGTGTCGTAAAGCCAACAGTTTCCAGTCTTGCCACAATTTTCCTCCCATACTATACAGGCAGAATCGGTTATGGCCCCAAATATCAGTGGATACGGTATAAAAGCTAAGAAAAAAAGATAATAATATACATTTAAAACTATTTTCTTTATTTAAACAATATATCAGAAGAAGATTTATTATATTTACCAAAAGCTGACAATGCTGCACCAATCGTTCCCAAAGCCATACTTTTATCTTGTGGATTTACGCATCTAAAATTTAATCATAATAATGCAAATTCTGTTAGAATAGAAGACGTTTTATTTATTATTTAGAAATAATAAAAAGATACTAAAATATGATTATGTCAACTAGAAATTTACTAGAAAAGTATAAAATCCCAGATTTAGCAAAAGAGGATTACTATTATTATTTTTTCCTCTTTCATAAAAGAAATTTACTTATATAATCTATAAAAGTTTTCAATTTTACATAAAAAGTATAAAATGCATATTGCTAAATTAAAAATAAATGATTAATTAATAATTATAATCGGATTATTAATTAAAGAAACTAATTAATAAATATATTAACTCAACTTTGAACTTTAATCTTTAGAGATACATTTTCTAGCTGTATAAGCACCAACTCAGTTTTTTTCCCTCTCAAACTAAATATTAAATATTACTAACTCGAAAACAACTTAAAGCCTATGAGAGTAATCTTATCTTTATAATTATATTCTAAAACTATATTTAAACTAATTAATGGTTAACAATGACCATAAACTATCTCATTACTGTGTATTAAATTAAATCTCTGATCTATTTTAGTAGCTGTTATTGAATATTATGTTTATATCAGCAACAAAGTTATATAAATTCTTATAATTTATGTAACTTTGTTGCTAAATTTCTCATATTTTATCAATTAAATAGAACTGTCATATTTATTTACCTTAATAAAATTAAACTGTTTCCAACTCGAGAAGTTGAAGCCATGAACTTGCTTAAACTCAAAACAATCATATAGGGTAGAAACATATTGCAATCTAGAGGGCAATATCCTCCAGTAACGTCAGTAGTAAATGTATCACCAGTTCCATTAAAAATGCAGCTGCAGTTGGTAAATAGCTACAGATTATACAACAAAATTAATCGTAATAAAATCATTTTCGATGCATTGATCTATTTAAATTACTTAATTAAGCTAGAACTCGTTTTATTTCGAATGGAGTGACGATTTTTTACTTACACCCAACTACAACGTGATTATTTACAGTTTTGTTTTTTAAATATAAAACTTATAAATATTTAAGAATTGATATTATTTTTTTCATTAAAAAATTACTTTATTAAAATACTAACATCGTTTCCTGAAGTATCATTCAATCCAGTGCAACCAGCAAAACATGGAGAGAAGTAAGTAGATTTTCCATCCATACTGCAAACTGGTTCAAATATTCTTTTAGTGCAACCACATCCAGAATTACATTCATTATAAAGTTCTAATCTGTAAGAATAATAAATTACCTTATAATTTGGTTTGACTATTACATAAATTGTTGTTATTAATCAATACGAACAAATACACATGTACTGTACAGACACCATATATGTAACTATATATTTCTCTTATCCTTGAACTTTCTTTTGGGTTGTGGACGTAAACATCCATCATATTTATAGATATAAATTAAGTATTGAGTATCAGTCTACTTATTTCAATTCTAGTACACTGAACTATTGACATTATATTTATTTGAATTTCTTACTGTATTAATAGTTTTCTAAACAACAAGAAAGTTCTCATAAGTTGTTATAAATTTATTAATTCTGAATTTAAATAAAAAGAAAACTTCTTACATAAAAAGCTGTTTTGACATAAAAACAATAATTTAATAAAAAATTAATTTATTTCTAAAGAAGTTTTTAATAATATTTTGTTATCTAAAGAAAGAAAGAAACCTCTTCACATATTTAAATTTTAATAAATCAGTTAAAAATATTCATTTTTTATCGTTTAAATTTGCATTGATTTAAAAATTTGAAAACAATTAAACATTCTTATTTTTTACTTCTATTAAATACAGTATTTTAATAGATATAGAAGCTAAGTTCAACTGACGAATTACACAATAATCACACACAGTAAACCTGCAAAAACCGGAACTCGATGAGACTATCTCTTTTTTTCGTGTCTCACAGGTTTTCTGCCATTGACAGGATATAATCTTACCATCTTTCTACTGCGCTCTATTGCCTATACAAATGCTACGGAAATGTTTTTTTACGATTTACATTTTATTCAAATTGCACTTGTTATAGATGTCTGCATATATTGTATAGATTTTACAAACAAATAAATGAGCAAAATTCACTTTTTAATAAAACATTTTAACGTTTGCTTAGTTGTCTTTAGTTTTTTTTAATGAAGTTATTTAAACGAATTTCTACGTCCGTGGCCTGAAAAATTCTTCTTTAGCTTTTTCAAATTCCTTCAAAGCCTTTATATAGTTGAGAACTTGTGTTTGATTTAAAGGCTTAGGGTTTTCTATTAGCTAGTCTTTTTTTTTATCATAGTCGTCGTCTTGTTTGCTTGTCCATAATTTCGTGAAGGTTTCTACCATTAATTTCTGTGAAAAAAATACACAAGCATAGAAGAACGACACAAAAGAAAATGGAAGCATGCTTTGAAACTCTCTATCGAAAAATAATTTTTTCCTGATAGATGGAACTGCACTGGAATTATAGAACACGAATTTCCGGCTTTTGCGTTTATGCTTTCCTGCATTTGGGTTGCAATAGCACGAATCTTCCACTCCGTTCGCGTCTCACAGATTCCGGCTTTCAGAGAACATTTTTTTTAGGTTAATGCAATCGTTTTACTGAAAAATATTTGAATTTTTCACCTATGAAAGATTTCTTACTCAGCTTCCGCTTTCGCAGGTTTTATTGCATTTTCCAAATCGTGAGAAAACAATTAATATTAATTACATCTAAAGTGTATTATGTAATTGCTAAAATGGATTAATAAAATTGCTGATATACATCAGAAAAAGCAAGAAAAATGAAAAAAAGAAAATATAGCAGATGTTCGTTAATACGGGACAGTATAATCCGGAATTCTTCAAAAAGTAGCTGATAATTCGGAATTATTCGATAATAATCATGCGTACTAATATGCCGCAAATTGGAATTTATTTAGACACATGATGCAAAAATGCATATTACAATATATAAACATGAATCATTGTGAATGTTGATTTTGTGCAATAATATGCTCATTAACGTTTTTGCAGTTTTATCAATCAATCATAACACAACTGATTAAAGAGCGTGCGTAAACAAATCAGAAGCACACAGAAGAGTGCACTAGTTGAAATGTAAAGCAATTTTTGCGACAAATATACATTGAAGTATGCATATCAAAAGTACAATGCATTTAGCCTATCGAATTTTGCGAAAACACAAAAACATTCGATAATTCGGTACCAGTCTGGTCTCTCAGATGCCGAATTGACGAACTTCCGTATTAAAACAATGAGTATTTAATAATTTAAAAAGAAAAACAGTATGTTGCAAATAAAAATAAAACCATATTCCATTGTATATTTACTTTGACTTTCTTTATCCAAACCACTTTAGTAAAGAAAATAAATTTACTAAGATTTTATTGATCTTATCAAAGCTTACAATTCTATTATTTATATTTTATTTTAAAAATTATAAACGATTTGTTTATTTTACNATTATTTAAAGTTTATATAATTTAATTGTACACGAATACATTAGATTTATATCTTTATCTCTCTTCTATAAGTTAAAAGCTTTTTATTTTTATTATTTCTGCAGAACCAATAAGGGATGAAAGATTCGTTAGATACTTACTCGTCACCTGTAAATGCTGTTCCTGTCATCTCAGTTTGCGGACACCCGAGAAACATCGAAGCGAGAAACCCAAACACACCGAAAAAATCGATAAAAACCATATAAGCCGTCAAGTAACGAGGTTCTGGTCTTAGTTTTTTTATAACTATTCCTCCTATCATTATACCTATCAGAACAGCAATTACGGGTACCGATCCTAAAATATTAAACAATAATAATTTTAAAAATGAGTTTAGAAAAATTGCTTGTCTTCAATTTTTTTTAAAATACTAACCTGTAAAGAAATTAGCTTTTGATGAAGATTGTCGAAATTGCGTTTCTATATATTTTGGCATAAAAACGAAATATCCGGCTACACCATTAATATGCAAAATTGCGGCGATTAATATAAACATGTAAATTGGATTTTTTGCTAGCATCCATAGGGATTTTGGCAAATCTATAAAAATCTATCTAGTGTAAGTTTATTTATATTAGATGGTTTTAATAATTGTGAACATAAAATTACCTTTAAATTTCGGCATTTCGTTCCTCAATTCTTTTTCATTTTCTACTGGAATGGGAGCATTCGGTAACCTTCGAGGGAAAAAGAACATTGGAATGCTAAATATCACAATTAAAGCACTCAATATGAGAAAACCCATCCACCAAGCTCCTACCCATCGCGGATCATCTTCAGTAAATCCAGGATCAACTGAAACAATATTTATTCTTTCTTAAATATTCAAGAATCAAATCAAGATATTACCTAATTTTCTTTACTTCAAAAATAATTATAACTATAATAAAGCATATAATACAAACAAAGCTATAATTAATAGTAAATAACAATAATAATAATCAATAAGCAAATAGGTTAGTTTAATTCTAAATAAAAGGAACATAAATATTTCATTACAATTATATCTAATTTACGCTCTGTTGAATAATTATTATTACTTTACACTCGTGTCCTCAATTTCGACCCATAAATATTTATAAGATGTTATGTAAAAAGGTAAGGAATCTTAATTGAGGTCATTCGTAATTACCAGTGTGTTGTTTCGTTATGTTCAAACTAAAATATCCTTAATTTTATACGAAAAATTTTAAAGTTTTATCATTGTTTTAAATTATTGTCGAGCGTAGATATATCTATCTAATGCTATCGACCGCTAGAAACTGAATCAAGAGTGTCAAAGTCATGGCAAGTTCAGTCAGGAAAAAATAATATTAAAGGCCGAGTTAAAATTTTGGCTGCGAGTCAAGAATAATCTAACGAAAGTTGATGTATAAAAAAATATTTTTGATAGACTGCATCGATAATGTTCGAGAAGTAAAACAAAATTTTCATATAAGTTAATTTATTAAATATGTTATTATTAAAATAATATTAAAAAATATATTTATCTATTGATTCAGGACAATTTTTATATAAAAAGATGTTTACCAAAATTATATTTTTGATGGCTGAATTTTACTGTTATTTCGATATCAGCCATAAAATTGATAACCCATCTAAAAAGAAATGTCAAAGATTGTTTAAATAAAAACCCGAAATGATTATAATTTAAGTTTTTAAATCTATTTTTATACACAAAAATTATATTGATAAAAAATATTATATATGTGTATGCGTTTATTAGTTAACTTTTTCCTTAGGCTACTGAGCTATATAACAATATATTATGTTATAATAGATATTACATATTAATTAATATTAATTACCATATCAGAAATTATATAAAACTTATTATATAATAAGCAGACAAAAAAAGCATGTATATATATTTTAATATAATTTAATATAGCTCACTTAGTAGCCATAGGGAAGAGTTAACATGGGCATATACACAATAGTCTTTTTATATTAATATAACTTTTGTTTATTTTGTATAAATTATATTTTGTATTTGGACGTTATCAAAGCGTGAATAAAAGACAAATGATAAAAATGATACAAAAGAAATGACAAAAAAAACATGTTTTACTTATTTTTGAATTATTTTAGATAAAATTGAATTCACTACTTGTAATAATTTAAGAATTTTTTTTTATTTTTATCTGAATGTAAATTCTTATTTGTCCATCTGACAGATTATATCTGCTATAATAACGTTTAAAATTTTAGTTATATTTAATTGCTCGTTTTTCTACGAAGTTTCGTTGCTGCATTTAATTGTCGTTCTGCTATTGTTATATCTTTACAATACGATTTCCATGACCTTGCACACAAATTTATAAATAGGAGTTTCCTGGAACTCCCTGTTGTATCCTTTACTATTAAATTAATAATAGAAAAATATCTAACTTGCCTTATATATAAAATTATTTCCATATTTATAAATATTCATGAAATATAAATAGCGTTTATTTTGTGAATATATTGTCAAATTTAAGCGTATAATTAAATTAATCTGAAGTACAAGCACACTATCATAACTTATATAATAGATATATTATTCGTCATAAATATATTTCTATAACTTTCTTTACAATTGAATGAGTTTTATAATATCCTTTGGAGATATAATTTAAGGCAAACTTATATAATAATTCAATACTCTCACTCACAAAACGGGTCTTCGTAATATCGAAGAGAGAAAGACGAAATTAAAAATCCAAGTGCTGGTCCAAATATCCTTAAAGCGGACATACTAGCTAAAAATAAATATATTTAATATTGTACTTTCAAGATTATTTTATATTATTTAATCTACAGTTGCAAATTTATTCTATAAACTTATTATAGCATTCTATTACTCACCTAAATATACTGGAGAATCCTTCTTATCTACATTATCATCTAGGTATGGTGTTCCAACTGCAAAAAATGCAGTGTAACCAAAACCGCATAAAAAATTCGCTACAAATATAATTGATATTGCTGGTATAGTTGGCGATACTTCTTCTTTTTTGCAATGTTCATTTGATTCTGGATCACAATATTCATATTTAGGTTTAACGAGTTCGTTAGGATCCTTTGTTATTAAATGAAGAGCAGGACCGTAGATGAAATAAGGCAAAGCACACATGAAACAACTGAGTGCCACAATTAGCATACCAGCAGCTATCCATCTAGGTCTGTGAGCACGTCCTCCGAAATAACCAATCAGTACACTAATTATGATCGGACTAAAATTATCAGCGATCATAAGAAATCCACTTATCCTACTATCGAAGGCATAACGCTTCTCTAGAGTAGAAAGGGAACCTACGAAGCAGGTAAAATATGCAGCTTCTACTATACCCAATAAACAATAATTAATGAGGTAAGCCTTAGAATTTGCAAAACGTTGTAACCATCTTGGTTTACATTTGCCTAAGCCACATAAGGTATCGTCATTTTCGGATTCGGCAACGTCTTCAGATAAAGATTCAAAAGTTGGCACAGCACAAAACTCAATTTCGGAATTTTTTATTTTCTTCGTGTTTGTCATTGTGATACAATTATTCGAAATATAAATTATTTGAATTAGAAAAGCAATTTATTTTAAACTGATAGCACTCACATGACATAAATTGATGAAATGAATCAATCAAATCTTCTGAATATATCTTATCGTCCATTTACAGACAAACGTTTTAATCTTAAAATTTATAATAATATAGTTCAACAGCTTTCTATAATCGAATATTGTGCAACGTAGAAACCGACTTACAATATCTTCGTAATAATATTAAAATATTCCTTATCCATCACTTAAGCACTTTCTATACCAATACATACATTTATCGGCATCCTATACTTGACTCTTTTATACGATGTCGAATTTCCTGATTATCTCACTATTGCTTCCTTTTCTTACTTGCCATTAACAATATTCTAGTAACTTTTATTAAATATTCTCCAATAAAAAATTTATATTATTAATGTTAGAAAATTTAATAATTCTCTAGCGTAATTTAGTATAATAATTACAATTGGCTAGTTATAATTATTGTAAACAAAGTAAAGAGGATTTATTAAGATAACTAATAAAAAAATTAAAAAGCAAAGTCCACAGATAAATTTTAATTTGATCTCTTTTGAACGAGTATATTTGCAATACATGCAATTATTAAATAATTGCTACTAATTACTAATGGATTATTAATTAACAACTTATAAATTAAATAAGCTATTAATTAATTAAATTTATTTTTAGTTACGTCTATTAATAATTTTCTATTTTGTATAAAACATCGCTAACCAATAACTAGCAAATTTATATATTTTATAAGTCTGACTCTAAAGCATTCGACATCATATTTCATAATGTAATATTGAATTGATTATTTTACAAATATTGATAATAGTACATTATGAAATATAATGATAATTGTATAAATTTAAAAATGTTTATGTAAAAATAAAAGCATGTTACTACGTGAAATAGAATTTCCCTTAGTTTTCAAGAAAATGTAGCGTAATTACATCTTAGTAGAAGTTTGGAGCTGTTTTTTTGCAACAGGCATGAAATTGTAGTAAATTTTCTGTAATATATTTACTATTAGTTTTATCATCATTACATAAATGAATCTTTTTAGAGTCTTAAATAATTTTTTTTTTTTTTTTAATCTCTGTTGAAGATCCATATCGAGATCGAGCCTGATTTTGTATCATTGCTGTTATGTCACTGAGTACGAGTGATGGGTGAGGAGTCAGCAAGAGATGTAAACACGATAATTTCATAATTTGTTATTGAATTAAATCTTTTATTTCGTCAAGTAATTATCATTTATTTAAACAGTTTTTTTTCCGTTTTAGAATTAATTCCTTTATAATTAATTAAAACGAATTTAAATAACAGTAGAATTTAATAAGGTAAATAAATTTTTAACAGACTAACAGATATATATACCGTATATAAATGTGCTACTTTGTTTACAGAATCGATTTTTCATTCTACTCATTCGTTATTTTAAATAATATATAAAAATATATTATTTAAAATAACGAATGAGTAGAATGAAAAATCGATTGTTCGTGTTCATTCAAAAAATCGTGTTTACGTGTCTTGCTGACTCCTCACCCAGCACTCGTACTCAGTGACGTAACAGCAATGGCACAAAATCAGGCTCGATTTCAATATGGATCTTCAACAGATTTAAAAAAAAAAAAAAAAAAAAAAACATTATTTAAGACTCTAAAAAGATTCATTTATGTAATGATGATAAAATTTTAATTTTTGTATGTACAATTTTGTTCTTTACAATACTAAAAATAGGTAATAACACGGGGGGCCCGGATTTTGTCTAAAATTACACAATCGTTCATACTAATTTCTCATCCGTTCAGGAACGAAATAAACTTTAATTTTGCATTTTACTTGACTCTTTTTGCCATTAGGAACATGACTGTTTTAATAGATGTTACGTCAGATAATAATGGGAAATTAATAGAATACTTTAACAAGAATATTAATTATTTTTTCAATTAACCAATGAAAATAGTGTATTAAGATTATTATCGACCATATTTGAAAATAATTGTAATGATATTAATGTTGTTATTATTAATGTTAAGTGATATAATCAATTTAACCACTTGACTATTTCCATAATTAGGTTAGATAAAGAAGTCAAAGAGTGTTCTTTTGATATTAAAACATGATAAAATTTAACAAAAGAAAAGTGGGTTATTGTTTGATAAACGTCTTATTGCACTCGTACTGTAATATTTATCATTATCATTTAAAGAAGTTTAAGATAAAAAATTGAAGTTTTTACTTAAAATGTAATTGAATTATAAGAAAAAAAATTCCAACAACAAGTTACACGACTGTCCCGGAGAAAGAGTTAAAATTGTGTGGCGCCATCTGTTATGACGTTTGATTTAAAAACTTTTTATTTTGTTAAGTATTATAAAATGGCAAAACGTTTAATTTCGAGAGTAGAGATGAGTTTCATAAAAATATTTTAAATGTTAATAACGAGTAAAATCTTCATTAAGTCCGATCTTACTCGAGATACGACACACTTCCCTCTTCTATTTCCCCACCTTTAACTAACAAAATTTAATAGCAACAATCCTCCTAATACACAAACCTCTCCTGCATTTCAGAAATTTTTGAGAAAAGGCACAGTAGTTATTAAGCTTTAAACTGGATGAACAAAACCGTGTCCACCATATTAACATCCATACATACAGAAAAAAATTCCTAATTTTTTCCTTTTTTTTTTAATTTTCATCTCTCGACGGTTCAAGGTCCCCTGAGTCCAAAATGTAAAAATATTGAAGGTAAGTCAGTTTTTGACCGATCACCATACTTATCCTCTGCTATATATATAATATCCGAAAAAAGTAATTGCTATATATTATATTATTTTAAAATAAAATTGGAAATAAGTATAATTTTTGAATATTAAAATTACATTTTCTTCCTATACAATCAGATAAAATTAAGAACAAAATATGCATTAAGATTTCAGAAAATAATTCTGAAAGAAAATTAATTTATATTCTTACATTTTTAAGAAAAAAATATGAAAATAATTCTAATTCTTTAGTACTATCTGATAAGACAATTTACTAATTATGTGTATAAATTTACATAGCATTAATAAGAAATAAAACAGAATACTGAATAAAAAAACATTATTATCGAAAATACGTCATTTTCCTACTGATTTCTGACAGAATATTTTTATTTAATTCATTATCTTATATTAAAAACAATAATTTAATAAAAAATTAATTTATTTCTAAAGAAGTTTTTAATAATATTTTGTTATCTAAAGAAAGAAAGAAACCTCTTCACATATTTAAATTTTAATAAATCAGTTAAAAATATTCATTTTTTATCGTTTAAATTTGCATTGATTTAAAAATTTGAAAACAATTAAACATTCTTATTTTTTACTTCTATTAAATACAGTATTTTAATAGATATAGAAGCTAAGTTCAACTGACGAATTACACAATAATCACACACAGTAAACCTGCAAAAACCGGAACTCGATGAGACTATCTCTTTTTTTCGTGTCTCACAGGTTTTCTGCCATTGACAGGATATAATCTTACCATCTTTCTACTGCGCTCTATTGCCTATACAAATGCTACGGAAATGTTTTTTTTTTACGATTTACATTTTATTCAAATTGCACTTGTTATAGATGTCTGCATATATTGTATAGATTTTACAAACAAATAAATGAGCAAAATTCACTTTTTAATAAAACATTTTAACGTTTGCTTAGTTGTCTTTAGTTTTTTTTAATGAAGTTATTTAAACGAATTTCTACGTCCGTGGCCTGAAAAATTCTTCTTTAGCTTTTTCAAATTCCTTCAAAGCCTTTATATAGTTGAGAACTTGTGTTTGATTTAAAGGCTTAGGGTTTTCTATTAGCTAGTCTTTTTTTTTATCATAGTCGTCGTCTTGTTTGCTTGTCCATAATTTCGTGAAGGTTTCTACCATTAATTTCTGTGAAAAAAATACACAAGCATAGAAGAACGACACAAAAGAAAATGGAAGCATGCTTTGAAACTCTCTATCGAAAAATAATTTTTTCCTGATAGATGGAACTGCACTGGAATTATAGAACACGAATTTCCGGCTTTTGCGTTTATGCTTTCCTGCATTTGGGTTGCAATAGCACGAATCTTCCACTCCGTTCGCGTCTCACAGATTCCGGCTTTCAGAGAACATTTTTTTTAGGTTAATGCAATCGTTTTACTGAAAAATATTTGAATTTTTCACCTATGAAAGATTTCTTACTCAGCTTCCGCTTTCGCAGGTTTTATTGCATTTTCCAAATCGTGAGAAAACAATTAATATTAATTATATCTAAAGTGTATTATTAATTGCTAAAATGGATTAATAAAATTGCTCATATACATCAGAAAAAGCAAGAAAAATGAAAAAAAGAAAATATAGCAGATGTTCGTTAATACGGGACAGTATAATCCGGAATTCTTCAAAAAGTAGCTGATAATTCGGAATTATTCGATAATAATCATGCGTACTAATATGCCGCAAATTGGAATTTATTTAGACACATGATGCAAAAATGCATATTACAATATATAAACATGAATCATTGTGAATGTTGATTTTGTGCAATAATATGCTCATTAACGTTTTTGCAGTTTTATCAATCAATCATAACACAACTGATTAAAGAGCGTGCGTAAACAAATCAGAAGCACACAGAAGAGTGCACTAGTTGAAATGTAAAGCAATTTTTGCGACAAATATACATTGAAGTATGCATATCAAAAGTACAATGCATTTAGCCTATCGAATTTTGCGAAAACACAAAAACATTCGATAATTCGGTACCAGTCTGGTCTCTCAGATGCCGAATTGACGAACTTCCGTATTAAAACAATGAGTATTTAATAATTTAAAAAGAAAAACAGTATGTTGCAAATAAAAATAAAACCATATTCCATTGTATATTTACTTTGACTTTCTTTATCCAAACCACTTTAGTAAAGAAAATAAATTTACTAAGATTTTATTGATCTTATCAAAGCTTACAATTCTATTATTTATATTTTATTTTAAAAATTATAAACGATTTGTTTATTTTACAGATTAATACTTTTAAAGCTAAAAACTTTTATTTTTAAACGAGTAAAAAGTGCAATTGGTAAATTACAAACACTTTCTCACACGAAGACTAGTTATAATGTAAATTTTTAATTACAATAATTTCATTTTATTTTTAATTTATTTCATAAATAATATATAAAGAATTTCCAAATTCAAATAAATAAATTTCGGCCATTTGGTAATTTATTTAATTGAAGTTATTCAAATAAAAATAATTTTAGAAGAGGTAGAAAAATATTGAAAGCGATGCCTTCAATGTCATAGTATTAAAATTAAACAATATTAAAGTCATTAAATTAAGTTATTTATTAAATATGGATATAAAAATGTTTACTTTTATTTTTATTAAATTAAAATCTTAAGCGTTTTTCTATAATAATTTAGCTTATTTCGCTAATGATTATATTCCTAAGTAAGTAATGATCATATTTGAATTTTTTACATAAGTTATCATTCCTAAGTAAAATTCAAAGAACGGTAATATTGTAATAAACAGAAAAAAACCTCATCTACTTTTCATTAGAGAGATACCGAGGCTCTAATAGATATACTATTGAAAGATGTAAAAATATCATATATGTATAGAATCATGTATTAATAAATATATTTTCATTAAGATGAAATATTAAAAAGATAAATAATTAAAATATATAATTACTTAAGAAAGCGATGTTACAATAAAGAAATGAAAATTATAAACTATGTAATATGGATTTTGTTTATTTTGCAAAGACGTTGGTATTGTAGATATACTTCTAGAATATGCTGATATAAAAGTAAAACTTCATAGAAAATTAGTACAATCAATGACAGAAAAGTTACACCACCAACTAGAGTTGTCTAATTATTACCAAACTGGACATACATCTTTGTCTCACGTCAAACAGATGTGTAAATGATTACAGTTGTGGTCCGATCACACGTCAGGTAATGTTATTTAAAACAGCTATCCCAGTATCTTATAAACTAAACATAAATAATTTATTTTTATTTAAAAATATTTAAAAAAAATGTTTTTACCAACGTAGAAATTTCGAAAATTTCAATATTTTTTTTCAGGAGATTGAATAACTTCATCGTCTAGAAGAAGTAATCAACAGCAAGATGTTCACAAAAATAAATAAATAAATAAAAATAAAATATAATAAAACATTTAGAAATCAAAAGAGAATTGGTAGAATGTTTGACTTTATTCTATTGTCACTATAAATTTATCCTTAAGCAATACTTGAAGAAATAAAAAGCTCGTCAACCGTCTAAAGATGAAAGGATATAAAATTTGATTTAGGAATAGTTTCGTTATAGTCATAATTAGAAGCTTGCTGACAAACTTTGAAGTTTTCAATAAACTCAGATAATTGGAATTGAATGTACTTGTTATCCACTACATTCTTTTTAAAATATCAATAAAATGCACAGAGATTTTCAAGTTATTTACAACCATTTTGTTCTTAATAAATTAGATAATATTATTGTATTTAATTCTTCGATTATATTGTAAAAACCAATTAATTTTTTGTCATTATCATAATGATAAAAAGACCTATTTTTATTTGGATTAGAAAAATATTGAATCAAAATGATTTAAAAATTTTATATACATTTTAATTTAGTAAAGACTGGATTATAAAAGTTATTAAAGATTATAATGTTAATTTGTAAAATATGATAAATTCTTTATTAATTATCAGTTAAAAAGAATTAAAATAAACAGAAAAGAAACACTTCAGTTAGAAGGTCACTCTTATTTATTTTTATTTTTGGCTATTCACGCCCTAAGGGCATTAAGAAGGCCTTTTTTCCCCATACCGATGGTGGATTCGTCCAGTCCTACGATGGAGACGAGCGGCTGGTGAAAAAATGTATTTGCTGGGCCCCAGAGCAAATACAGCAAACTCTTGAAAGAACTATATGATTGGAACGTAAGTTGCGACATTTTTTTTCAAGTGTATTAAGAGTTCGTATTGAATAACGTCAAATGAAAAAATTAAAAGACAGTAGAGATGTTAATATCATAAAAGAATATTAACATATTTTTAAGTATTTAGACGATATTAATTAGTTATTTGATATATTTTTCGTTCTTTATTCAGTTTTATATAATTTTTTATTAAACTTAATTTTCCATTTTGATACGAGTATTAATTTTCTGTTTGGACTACAATTTGAAAAAATTTTAGACCTATAAATTCCCACTGTCGTCCGTCTATATCTCTGTTTTAATCTCGAGAATGGGATTAGATAAATGAAAGTCGAGAAATTATAAAAAGCTTAGAGGCAGGAGGCTCCAATTAACTAAATACGATCATTCGATGAAACCAGAAGTCACGTTATTTCGATTCAAAAATTTCCCCTAAAAGGAGTTACATAGATGACCGGCACGACTCAATTGCTAAAGGAAAAGTATGATGTACAGGTGCAAAACACTACTAATTTGATGGTGGAGAGCATATATTTTAAATTAAATAAATTAATAAATATGGTTAAAAATTGCATCCCGGCATTGTGGCGATTTCACAATAAAATGCTCGTCATGATTGATTTTTTTCTTGCTCCTTTTCCGAAGTGATGTTTATATATACGTATAAGGAAAACCAGGGCAAATGAAGGTTTTAAGGGTTATAAAATAGTGAAGGATTGGTTGAAAATGAACAAGTTTATTTTTAACTACTTGACAACATATTTCTTTTAAAAAGTTTACACAATTTTTTAAGCTCGAAAACACTAAGTGAAAACAAAAAGAAATAAATATAATAATTCACTAATGTGTACAGAAATTTACTCAATATTTTAATCCATTGCTTGTTACAAATTTCATTACAAAAATAAAATAAAAAACAAAAACTAACTAAAGACAAAATTATTAGACCACCTTGTTTAAGATCTAGTTGGGCCTCCTTTTGCTTTCAAAACAACCTTGATCCATAGTAACATTTGTTACATTAAATGTTGGCACTCCTCAGGAGATATTTCAGACCAGGATCGTTCAATTGCGTTTTTCACCAACTAACTCACACCTCTAAGGATGAGATGGTGATTTAACAGAAAATGATATTTTGTTTTTTCAAATCTGTTTTCCGAAAAACACTATTGTGTTGCTCGTTATTGTGTTGTTTTTAATTTTTTATATTTTGTTTATATTTTAAATTTAATTTCTTNATTTAATATAGCTCACTTAGTAGCCATAGGGAAGAGTTAACATGGGCATATACACAATAGTCTTTTTATATTAATATAACTTTTGTTTATTTTGTATAAATTATATTTTGTATTTGGACGTTATCAAAGCGTGAATAAAAGACAAATGATAAAAATGATACAAAAGAAATGACAAAAAAAACATGTTTTACTTATTTTTGAATTATTTTAGATAAAATTGAATTCACTACTTGTAATAATTTAAGAATTTTTTTTTATTTTTATCTGAATGTAAATTCTTATTTGTCCATCTGACAGATTATATCTGCTATAATAACGTTTAAAATTTTAGTTATATTTAATTGCTCGTTTTTCTACGAAGTTTCGTTGCTGCATTTAATTGTCGTTCTGCTATTGTTATATCTTTACAATACGATTTCCATGACCTTGCACACAAATTTATAAATAGGAGTTTCCTGGAACTCCCTGTTGTATCCTTTACTATTAAATTAATAATAGAAAAATATCTAACTTGCCTTATATATAAAATTATTTCCATATTTATAAATATTCATGAAATATAAATAGCGTTTATTTTGTGAATATATTGTCAAATTTAAGCGTATAATTAAATTAATCTGAAGTACAAGCACACTATCATAACTTATATAATAGATATATTATTCGTCATAAATATATTTCTATAGCTTTCTTTACAATTGAATGAGTTTTATAATATCCTTTGGAGATATAATTTAAGGCAAACTTATATAATAATTCAATACTCTCACTCACAAAACGGGTCTTCGTAATATCGAAGAGAGAAAGACGAAATTAAAAATCCAAGTGCTGGTCCAAATATCCTTAAAGCGGACATACTAGCTAAAAATAAATATATTTAATATTGTACTTTCAAGATTATTTTATATTATTTAATCTACAGTTGCAAATTTATTCTATAAACTTATTATAGCATTCTATTACTCACCTAAATATACTGGAGAATCCTTCTTATCTACATTATCATCTAGGTATGGTGTTCCAACTGCAAAAAATGCAGTGTAACCAAAACCGCATAAAAAATTCGCTACAAATATAATTGATATTGCTGGTATAGTTGGCGATACTTCTTCTTTTTTGCAATGTTCATTTGATTCTGGATCACAATATTCATATTTAGGTTTAACGAGTTCGTTAGGATCCTTTGTTATTAAATGAAGAGCAGGACCGTAGATGAAATAAGGCAAAGCACACATGAAACAACTGAGTGCCACAATTAGCATACCAGCAGCTATCCATCTAGGTCTGTGAGCACGTCCTCCGAAATAACCAATCAGTACACTAATTATGATCGGACTAAAATTATCAGCGATCATAAGAAATCCACTTATCCTACTATCGAAGGCATAACGCTTCTCTAGAGTAGAAAGGGAACCTACGAAGCAGGTAAAATATGCAGCTTCTACTATACCCAATAAACAATAATTAATGAGGTAAGCCTTAGAATTTGCAAAACGTTGTAACCATCTTGGTTTACATTTGCCTAAGCCACATAAGGTATCGTCATTTTCGGATTCGGCAACGTCTTCAGATAAAGATTCAAAAGTTGGCACAGCACAAAACTCAATTTCGGAATTTTTTATTTTCTTCGTGTTTGTCATTGTGATACAATTATTCGAAATATAAATTATTTGAATTAGAAAAGCAATTTATTTTAAACTGATAGCACTCACATGACATAAATTGATGAAATGAATCAATCAAATCTTCTGAATATATCTTATCGTCCATTTACAGACAAACGTTTTAATCTTAAAATTTATAATAATATAGTTCAACAGCTTTCTATAATCGAATATTGTGCAACGTAGAAACCGACTTACAATATCTTCGTAATAATATTAAAATATTCCTTATCCATCACTTAAGCACTTTCTATACCAATACATACATTTATCGGCATCCTATACTTGACTCTTTTATACGATGTCGAATTTCCTGATTATCTCACTATTGCTTCCTTTTCTTACTTGCCATTAACAATATTCTAGTAACTTTTATTAAATATTCTCCAATAAAAAATTTATATTATTAATGTTAGAAAATTTAATAATTCTCTAGCGTAATTTAGTATAATAATTACAATTGGCTAGTTATAATTATTGTAAACAAAGTAAAGAGGATTTATTAAGATAACTAATAAAAAAATTAAAAAGCAAAGTCCACAGATAAATTTTAATTTGATCTCTTTTGAACGAGTATATTTGCAATACATGCAATTATTAAATAATTGCTACTAATTACTAATGGATTATTAATTAACAACTTATAAATTAAATAAGCTATTAATTAATTAAATTTATTTTTAGTTACGTCTATTAATAATTTTCTATTTTGTATAAAACATCGCTAACCAATAACTAGCAAATTTATATATTTTATAAGTCTGACTCTAAAGCATTCGACATCATATTTCATAATGTAATATTGAATTGATTATTTTACAAATATTGATAATAGTACATTATGAAATATAATGATAATTGTATAAATTTAAAAATGTTTATGTAAAAATAAAAGCATGTTACTACGTGAAATAGAATTTCCCTTAGTTTTCAAGAAAATGTAGCGTAATTACATCTTAGTAGAAGTTTGGAGCTGTTTTTTTGCAACAGGCATGAAATTGTAGTAAATTTTCTGTAATATATTTACTATTAGTTTTATCATCATTACATAAATGAATCTTTTTAGAGTCTTAAATAATTTTTTTTTTTTTTTTAATCTCTGTTGAAGATCCATATCGAGATCGAGCCTGATTTTGTATCATTGCTGTTATGTCACTGAGTACGAGTGATGGGTGAGGAGTCAGCAAGAGATGTAAACACGATAATTTCATAATTTGTTATTGAATTAAATCTTTTATTTCGTCAAGTAATTATCATTTATTTAAACAGTTTTTTTTCCGTTTTAGAATTAATTCCTTTATAATTAATTAAAACGAATTTAAATAACAGTAGAATTTAATAAGGTAAATAAATTTTTAACAGACTAACAGATATATATACCGTATATAAATGTNTTCAAAACAACCTTGATCCATAGTAACATTTGTTACATTAAATGTTGGCACTCCTCAGGAGATATTTCAGACCAGGATCGTTCAATTGCGTTTTTCATCTCTTCTTTAGTACAGAGGACAGCTTTTCTGACTTTTTTCTTCAAAATAATACATATGTATTCAATTGGGTTAAGGTGATGACTATTTGCAACCAATCCAAACGAGAAATATGCTTAGCTAGCATCCAGGATGTTACATCGCATCTATAACACGATGAAATATCATCTGAGAATATAAATTTAATTTCCAAACTGTTCTTAAACTGTAGGAAGTATTAATAAATTATTGTTTGAAATGTCAATGTTTATTGTTCCATTAGAGATGTACATTTTCCTACATCATATGATGACATGCACCCCCTTATCATCACAGATAATTAAAATTTCACACTCTTTTTTAAAAATTTTTCTTCAGGTTTTCTCCAAACTTTGGTTTCCACATACAACCATATCCTAAGAAATACGACTTTTGCCAGAGAATATAACTCGGTTCCAGTCATTGGTGTCCGATGTGCTCATTTAATTAGGCCAACTGGCATTTTACATGTTGTGGTGCTAAAAAGGCTTGGTTTTTGTTTTGCATGGGTTATAGCCCATTGATTTCAAACGCCTATACATTGTTTTTGCAGAAACATTGACATTATATTTTCTCCATTCATATGCCATTTTCTAAGCTGAGATGTTTCTCTTTGTTTTACAAATTGCACGTAATGTTCTTTCTTGTTTATTTGTTATTTTCTTGTTTTTGATATTTCTTGTAGCTTTAAATTTGTTGAGTATATATTGAGTACATATTATTGTATTGATTTTTACTTGTTTTCACTTAGTGTATTCCGGCTTAAAAAATTGTGTGCTACATTTCAATTAGGTGGTCTAATAATTTTGTCTTGCGGTTGTGCAGCCATAAACTGAGTTATATAATATGAGTAAAAAAGTTTTATAAAGAAATTGAGAAAGAAGAGATAAGAGAAATGGAAGAAAAAAAGTGTACAATAGTTATTTCTTATTCTATTATTCTATTATTTTATTCTATTATTCTTTTATTCTATTATTTTATTCTAAGCGCCACTATTATCCTCCTCTGAAATTAGCGCTAAATCGATTGTAGTGCTAAACCGAAGTATCTCAAACAATGAGAATCTACACGTTAGTTTTGAGTTTCAGAATTTGGAAGTCACATAATTTTATAATAACAATATCGTTTGCAATGCTGCATTTGGTACCTGTACTTCACAAATAATGAAGTGTTCTCTGTTTAATATTTATAGGAAGAACTTGTTCACAAATATTTGTTAGTAGTTTATGAGAATAGCGCTATTTAAGAGGGTGCTATAACAATGTTTGATTGTATATAAAAGTTAAGTTGCTTTATAAACACAATTAATTTTTATTTCGTTTCGTAACTATTCTCGGTTCGAAATAAAAAGAAAATATATTTGTTGTAATGTAATTGAGAGTCATAAATATGCAATAAATTTTATATTTTTAGCATTATTAAGAACTTATTAATTAAATTTTTCATTCATACCGACTGAAAGTCCTTATTTTCTATATTAAATCATTTCTATTATTTTATATTTTAGGCAATTTTAATTGCTAAACAATCATCCAATATTCAATTAATTATCAGATGTATTTAATAATACGTGATAAATATACTATAAATATAGTATTTATATTTATCACATGGTATTTACATGTTCAATGGGATAAAATTAAGAATCTAAGTTGATTACAATAGTGTAGTTATTTAATATCTGCAAGTAAACTTATATCTATGTCTTTAAGAAATTATTAAAAATTTAATTAACTAAAGTATTGTGAAGTTCAGCAATTTTATTATAGATATAACGTAAATAATTTCATTAACATAAGCCTATAAATATATTGCAAATGCATCAAAAATGCTTATATAATTTTTTCAAAAGCTTTAAAAAAATAAAAATCTGATAACATTTATTACTTAATAAACANTTAAAAATAATGGTTAAAATACCCATTATAAGTTTGCATAGAAAAGCAGATGACAGGACATAGCTCCCAGCAAATAGCATCCGAGTAAAGCTCCAACAAATATTGGTAAACGAATCTTTCTCATAATTATTAAATAAAAATCATTCAGTATCTGTGCATTGTTCGATTTTACATCTCAAACGACGATTTTATCATCAAATAACATAACTTCAAACTCTCAAAACTCGTGTACAGACCTCATTACTACACACAATTCTTACTGTTTGATATGCTTCAATTTAGTGCCAATAAATCTGGACTAAATTAAAGTTTGATTGCGTACAATAACATAGCCGCATAATTCATTTATCTAAACAAACGTAAAATTGTAAAATAGTAAGAAAATCTATAAAAGAATAAATTTATATACAATCCCAAGACAAAAGTATTAGATTACCCAAACTGAAATGTAACACACAATTTTTTAAGCTCGAAAACACTAAGTGAAAACAAAAAGAAATAAATATAATAATTCACTAATGTGTACAGAAATTTACTCAATATTTTAATCCATTGCTTGTTACAAATTTCATTACAAAAATAAAATAAAAAACAAAAACTAACTAAAGACAAAATTATTAGACCACCTTGTTTAAGATCTAGTTGGGCCTCCTTTTGCTTTCAAAACAACCTTGATCCATAGTAACATTTGTTACATTAAATGTTGGCACTCCTCAGGAGATATTTCAGACCAGGATCGTTCAATTGCGTTTTTCACCAACTAACTCACACCTCTAAGGATGAGATGGTGATTTAACAGAAAATGATATTTTGTTTTTTCAAATCTGTTTTCCGAAAAACACTATTGTGTTGCTCGTTATTGTGTTGTTTTTAATTTTTTATATTTTGTTTATATTTTAAATTTAATTTCTTTATTTGATAATAAAAGTAATCACGTATAATATACGGTCAAACCTTCGTACCATTGAAGGTAACATAAAAATAGATGCTGTTTGGAGGTTATTTTGTATGCATTTTTGTTAAAGAATATTAGGCCTATTAGTTATTTAGAACTGGTACTTACTGGAAATTCGATTTTATTAAATAAATTTAAATGTTCTTTATTTTTCTGTGGTCTTCGTAAAGTTCTTGATATCCTTTTTTTTTATCTGATAACATTTTAAATCCTAATGTGAAATGGTAATTATTTTAATTGATTTTAAAACAAGCACAAAATTAAAGAGTTTACGACTTTGAAAAGAACATTTATCTTAATAAAAATAAGTCCGAAAATCCTTTTTAATCTGTTTTTATTATATCTATTTACTCTAATTAATAATGCATCACACATAGAGTAAAATAAAATCACTGTTATTTAAATAATTTATTTTATTTTATTTTAGAGAATGAAAACGTTAGATTTTGCTTCATTTATATTTACTCAATTCCTTCTTATTTAATTTTTTATTTTTAATTAAAAATAATGGTTAAAATACCCATTATAAGTTTGCATAGAAAAGCAGATGACAGGACATAGCTCCCAGCAAATAGCATCCGAGTAAAGCTCCAACAACACATCAACTGTGATTAGTTATTTATGTGGTTTATGATACAAAAAACGTGCAATTTGATACGTTCTGCTCCAGCCTCAGTGCAGAACGAAACACTTATTTTTATTATTTAGAAACAACTAATGATAAAATTACATTGTTCTTTACCTTATTTTACTTTATGTAAATATTATTTGTCAAAATTAGTTGTATCGCACATGGAATACTTGCTCTGGAGAAAATTTAAAAATTAAGTAAAAATTATTTATTTTCTTAATTAACGGAAAA